GGTTTGGTGTCTTGGTGGCATGAGGTTCATTTGTGGATCTGGTATGTTTCTGTGTTGGAGGGGATCTGGTTTGGCTGGGGGCTGCTGTGCCTTCAGGCAGGAAGGGGAATCTGCCATCCCCCGTTCCCTAAGGCCCCACACTTATCAGACGGGAGCTGTCTACCTGGGAAGGTTTGCTGGCATCGTGTTCTTATCAAGATGAGTTGTGGAGCTGGGCTGTTTCTGAGGGCGAGATGGCAGGTTTGGGTGTGGGATTCTCACTGTTTCTGAGATTTCTAAGATTTCTGGGGTCTTCATTGTTTTTAAGACAATCTTTTCTTCAATTACCCATATTTTTACTACATGATCTCAATATGCATCTTTTAAAATTTATACTAGTTGGAGTTTCTTGAATGTGTACACTCATGTATTTCATCAATTTGGGGAGTTCGAGGTGATTATATTATCACTTATCCTTTTATTTATTTTTTTTTATTTTGGGCCACACCATTATCACCCCAGCCCCTAATGTCATAGATTCTCTCTGCATCTTTCTCTTCCAAGCCTCTGGAAAACTCACTCTGTGCTCGTCGGTATTTCCCACGGGTCTCACAGAAGTGTTACTGATTTTTATTCTTTTTCTTTTCTGCTCCTTGGACTAGATAATCTTAGTTGGTCACTGTCCAAGTTTGCTGATTCTTTCTCTGCTTCTTCCAATGTGCTGCTGAATATTTCATTTCAGCTACTGTGCTTTTCAACTCCAGGTTTTCTGGATGGTGACTTTTGATAATGTCTAGCTATTTGTTGCTTTTCAGTGAGGGTTGTGAAGAGGTGATAGGGCCACACCTGGCTGTGCTCAGGGCATACTCCTGGCTCTGTGCTCAGTGATCATTCCTGGCAGTGCTTATGGGACTGTATGTGGTTTGGGGGATTGAACCCAGGGTCGCATGCAAGGGCAAGTGCTCTGCCCACTGTATTATATCTCGGCTCCGATGTATTTTTCTTTGGTAGTACATCATTCTCTTGGTTTTCTTTCTTTATTTGTAGTATCTATTAGCACTTGGAGCATATTTAAGATGGTTTATTTAAAGACTTTGCCTACTAAGTCCAATGTCTGCATTTCTTCAGGGAGTTTCTGTTAATTTTTCCCCATAAATTAGCAAATCTTTCTTGTTTCATCTCACACCTCACAAGATTTTGGAGTTGAAAACAGAACCAAACATTTTTTAATATTATAATGTGGTAACTCTGGAAATCAAACTTTTTTATATATTTATTTATTGAATCACTGTGGGAAAAGTTACAAAGCTTTCAGGTTTAAGTCTCAGTCATTCAATGATCAAACACCTTTCCCTTCATCAGTACTTAATTTTTCACCACCAAGAACCCCAATATACCCCCTCCCACCCCTCCCAATGCCTGTGAGGCAGATGAATTCTACTTAACTCTCTATCTACTTTGATTACATTCATTATTTCAACAAAAGATGTCCATTATTGTTTAGAGTTTACACCCAACAACCAGAACTGCTGAAGAGGCATTGTGAAATAATTTGTTTTCTACAGCTGGTTATGAGAACCATATGATGTCTCACAGCCATGATAGTGGCCGCGCGATTTTGAATTTCTGATATTTTGCTTATTAAGTCTGGAGGGATTTCTTCCAAGAGCCAGATAATTACGAGATTGGTTTCTGTGGCTCTGGAGCCATGGCCATGCTGGACAGCTGCTCAAGGGGGGCAACTCGTGACCTCGGTAGGGCGTGAAGGACAAGCCAGTACTGCCCCCCTTCCCATGAGACTGCAGTTGCCCTGTCACCTCTGGTTCATACCTGGCTTTCCTATAAGCTCTGAGGCGGCGGCCATCTTGCTGCCCCAGGGGAAAAAGGAGGAAGAAAATCAAAATTTCTTATCTCCCCTGGGTGTGGTGGTATTATTTGTGATAGATCGTAATAATTCTTTGAATCCTTTTTTGTTTGATTCTGGGCCACACCCAGCAATGCTCAGTAGTTACTCCTGGCTCTGCACTCAGGGATTGTTTCTGGCAGTGCTCAGGGGGCCATAGAGGATCCAGAGGATTTAACCTGGCCTGGCCGCATAGAAGGGAAGCACCCTACCCACTGTGCTACCTCTCTGGCCCTTAGTGACTTTTCTAAACTCTTTGTGAGGCCTTATTCCTTGCTCCCTATGGTCACTGAAGTCTCGGGTTAGCTTTGGGCCCAGCTGCCAGAGAGACCAGGAACATCGGGAGCACAGACAGACTCTTTGCCCAGTCTCTGCAGAGGGACTCAGTGCCTGTGTCCCCATCAGTGTCTTTGGATGTATTGTCACATAGATTTTGATCAATAGAGTCAGTGACCTTCCTCTGTGTTTATTTTCATAAGAGAGTCTTGATGGTTTTAGCCACCACCATGCTGAGACCACACTCCACACGCATGAAGGTACCGGCAGAGGAACAAAGGCATGCGGGTCCCGGGGCTGAGATCTCCAAGCCTGCTCGGATCGGGGCTGAGCATCCTCCACCCAGATCCTCCACCTTCCAGTAGGCAGGGGTCACACCCACCATCTGACCCCCAGCGCCGTGTAATCCCATCAACGGCCAAGACCCAGAGACTATAAAATCTAGCATTCGTGGCCGCATGACATCTTATTATCTCATTCTTACTGTGGACAACCTGGCAGGTTACTGAATGTTACCGGCCCACACGGCAGAGTCTGGCAAACTCCCCGTGGCGTACCCAATATGCCAAATACAAGCAACAATGATGGATCTCATTCTCCTAACCCTGAAAGAGCCTTGAATATGGCACTTTTTAAAATCTCAGGGCTAGGACAAAGGAGATGTTACTGGGGCCTGCTCAAGCCAATCGACGAACAACAGGATGATCGTGATCGTGATCGTGATGTTTTTAGCAATGATATATTTTTAATATCAATGAATAAAACTTTAGACAGGTTATTGTGGGGTTCTGGGGATTGAGCCCCAGGTCTCACACAGGCCAGGAGATGCTGTGTAGCCTCGTCACCACCTCGGAGAGTTTTTGGCTAGTGAATTACTTGCCTTGCTCTTGTTCAGGGTAATGTTTCTGACCCTAATCCTCACCCAGCGCCACCCTGGGAATCTTGGCAACCCTTTCACGTTCAGGGGCCTCCTGTTTTGTGATCTCTAAATAGCAAGCAGGGTTTCTGCCCAACCGTTATGCAAGTTATTTTTAAAAAATTAACAAACTGGTCAGGGTGATAGAACAGCTGGTAGGGCATTTGCCTTGCACGCAGCTGACCTGGGTTCAATCCCTGGCATCCCATATAGTACCCTGAGCACTTCCAGGAGTTATTTATGAGTGTGGAGCCAAGTAGAAAGCCCTGAGCATCACCAGATATGGCCCAGAAACAAACAAAAAATTGACAGAGTTGATGCCATGAACTAAGGATGTTCTGATAGGTAGACCACAAGGTAACACAGGAGGACCCCAAAGTAAGGCAGTAGAGGGTCAGAGTGGTAGTACAGCAGGGAGGGTGTTTACCTTGCATTCGGACAACCCAGGTTCAATCCCTGGCATCCCAAATGGTCCCACTGAGCAACACCAGGAGTAATTCCTGAGTGCAGAGCCAGGAGGAACCCCTGAGCATTGCTGGGTGTGACCCACTGTCACTGTCCTCTCATTGTTCATCGATTTTCTTGAGCGGACCCAGTAACGTCTCCATTTTGAGACTTTGTTGCCCCTGTGTTTGGCATATTGAATACGTCTCATGGGTAGCTTGCCAGGCTTTGCCATGCAGGTGAGATACTCTCGGTAGCTTTCTGGGCTCTCCGAGAGGGGCAGAGGAATCGAACTCAGGTCGGCCATGTTGGCTGTGTGCAAGGCAAACGCCCTACACGCTGTGCTATTGCTCCAGCCCCCAAAAAGCCAAAAAAAAAAAAAGGCAGTAGGACCATGAGGTAACACAGTAGGAATCACAAGGAATAAGCCGCAGAAGTACTTGGTTGGTATCAACACCCCCTCTCCACCAACACACACACACACACACACACACACACATACACACACACACATACACACACACACACACACACACACATAGGGAACAACCATACCTGACACACGGTAGGTAGGTGCCTGGTAAGTATTTGGAAGGTTTATTGACCCCCTAAATTTTCACTGATTTGCCGAGGGATACTGTTGATTCCACTGAACAAAGTCGAGTGCCAAGATCCCCTGCCCGGGCTTGTGTCCTGGTGGGGCAGAGAGCTACCCTAACCCACATACTTGTGCGAATGTCCAGAAGTTAGAGCACTGCAGGGCAGGGGAGGGGTGCCAAGAGGAAAGTCAGGCGGGGAGGAGGGAGAAGAATTTAAAAGGCAGAAGTTCAGGGGCTGGAGTGATAGCACAGCAGGTAGGGCGTTTGCCTTGCACGCAGCCAACATGGTCGACCCGGGTTCGATTCCCAGCATCCCATATGGTCCCCTGAGCACCACTAGGAGTAATTCCTGAGGGCATGATCCAGGAGTAACCCCTGAGCATCGCCGGGTATGACCAAAAAGCCAAAAAAATAAAGGCAGAAGCTCAGAGGGGTGCCCATCTAGAGTCAGAGAAGGTGGGCACATGAGTTCTGTGGGGTGAGTGTTGAGGGGTGAGCCAGGGCCCTGCGGCTGGGGCAGAGGGGGCTGCGGGGCTGGGCGCAGGAGTGGAGTGGGCGAGGGTCGTGGAAAGGGCTGACCACAAGCAGAGGACAGAGCACGGACCTATGGTTTGAGCAGGACCCAAGTCTGTTGGGTGGGGAAGGGCCGAAGCAGGGTTCAGGGTTCGGGGCAGCACCTAGAGCGGCCAGGCATCGGGATGTGCTGGTGGCCGTCCCAGCTGGGCCTCCCTTGAATGTGGGGCAGGTGGGGACAGTCCCCGCTGGCTCGATGGAGGGGGTGGATGCGCTCCCTAAGTGGAGGTCGGGGGGACTCCTGAGCACTGCGGATGCCTGTGCAGCTTCATGCCCGGCTTCTCCCCCCCACCCTCCCGCTCGCCCCCAGGCCCAAGGTCGCGGAGGCACCCAGCCCCGCCCCGTGGGCAGCCTCGCCGTCCGACTGCCCGCTGCTGCTGCGTCGGCGTCTCCGCCGGGAGGACACGCGGGGCGGCTGCCGCTGCGTGGGGAAGCCGCCCCAGGTGTCCGACGTGGAGCTCGAGGCCTTCCTGGCGGCGGCCCGCGACCCCAACCAGGTGCTGGTGTTCGGCATCTTCTCGGGCCAGAATCGCCGCGGCACGGCCCAGCTGCACTGGCTGCTGGACACGCTGTACAGCCAACGGCAGCAGGGCCGCGGCTCGCCCTGCATCCAGGTGGGCCTCGGGCGGGCCGGCGGGAGACGGGATGGCCCCGGGTGGGGGGTCCTCTCTCCCCGCGCCTCACCCTTGCCCCCTCTTTCCACCCTGGCTCCTCCTCCGCCTGCCCAGGGGAGTTGGGGGTCCCCTCTGACCCTGGAAGCAAGGCCAGGCATCATGTGGGGGGTTGGGGTGGGGTGCAGGTGATGCCCCACTGTGCGCCAAGGCTCAGCGATACTCAGACAGTGGCCAAGCGTCTGTGCCCCTCTCCGTGTCTGACCCCAGGGGTGCTCCCGGCCCAGGGACCACCCTTGGAACCGGAAGTGCCCAGGAACTGCCAGTTCCAGGCGCCCAGGGGCCTCCCAGGACAGGACGTGGGGACATGGTGCCTGACAGTGGAAGTCCCCAGGCCTGGCCCATCAGGGTGCTCAGTTCCTGCTGAGTCCTCCCACCCCCACCACAGCTGGGAGGATGTGGGTGATGGGAGGGCTCAGCCTCTTTGGACACAGCCCCAAGTTCTGAGGTGACCCTCTCCAGCCCTCCTCTGAGGGGAGCCCCCTGCTTCACCCCTCAGACCCCCAGATCCGGCAGTGCCTGGATGTCTGACTCAGACCCCAGGGCGCAGCCCAACCTCACCAGCCAGCCAAGTGCCATTTCTGGTTCGCTCATAATTCAGCTCGGTGCAGTGAGCATCTGCCGAGACCCCATCCGTGCCCCTGCCCATGTGCATATGCATGTGGTGTGTGTGTGTGTGTGTGCGTGCATGTGTGTGAGCCAGAGGCAGCGGCCTGAATGAACGCACCGTGCAGACTGCAGATGACAGACAGATGTAGGGTGCTCAGCAGCACGGTGCTGTGTGTGCCCCGAGCTGTGGCCAGCACCCGGGGGGCCTGGTGGGTTCACATTTGAGATAGAATGGCCTGGAGGCACTTGGTCTGAGGCAGACTGAACAGGACCCCCCATGGGCTGGAGTGGGAAGAAGCAGGGTCAGGACCTCCAGGGGTGGAGGGTCACGCCTGTGAACAGAATGTGTTTAATGATGTTTAATGCCTGAAGGGACAATGCATGTGTGTGCACACGTATGCTAATGCATGCACACTTGGGTGTATTGCACTGTGCAACAGCGCACATATTTAGTATAGCATGTATGCATGCATGTGCACATGCGTTCATGTGTGTAGTGTGTGTATGTGTGATCATGCATGTGTGTAGTGTGTCTGTGCATGCGTGCATGCATGTGTGTGTAGTTTGTGTGTGTGCTCATGCATGCATGTGTATGTGTGGCTGTAGTGTGTGTGTGTGCACGTGTGTGTGTGCAATGTGTGCGTGTTTCCAGGAATCGGGGCACACCGGCTGCTCCCTTCCCATCTCCGTGGGGCTCCCTCAGGCAGACCCCAGTGCCAGGGCCGCATCTGTGTCCAGGGAATGGGGGTGCTGTATGTGGCTCTGCGACCCCGCGGCTGGCTGAGAGTGTGGGACTTGGGTGTCCTGTGGCACGGGGCGAGGCCCTGTCACCTCCCTGTCCCACAGAGCTGGCGCGACCCCTTCCGTCTTCTGTGCTATGACCTGGACGGGCCCCTGCAGGCGGACCCGCCCCTGATGATCCAGAAGTACTCAGTGGTGCAGGGCATGGTCCTGGTGAGTCCCTGCTGGGCACAGGGGGGCTGCAGGAGGTCCTGGGGGCCCCAGTGCAGCCAGTGGGCGGGCAGCAGCCCAAGACCCCATGCTCTGACTCACTGCTTCCAAAGTCACAGCACTGGGCCACGGAGACATCACTCCTTGTGGGCACCAATGCGCTGAGGGGCTGCACCCTACTGTCCCCCGTCCCCCAGGCCTGCACCCCACTTTCCCTCCCCAAGCCTGCACCCCACTGTCCCAGGCCTGCACCCCAGTCCCTTCCTCTCCCCCCACACCCCTGCAGATGTTTGCTTCAGGGAAGCTTCTGTTCGGGGGCAGCACCCTGAACGGCTATGGGGTGAGCCGCCAGAACCTGCTGAAGCAGATCTTCCAGACCCGCCAGGACTGCAAGATGGGCAACTTCCTGCCCGAAGACTATAAATTCAAGTAACGCTGGGAGGGCAGGGGAGAGGAGGGTGCGGGGAGGGGGGCGTCAGGGAGGGTCTCTGGGCCCAGCGCAGTCCCCATCCTGGGCTCTGAGGGTGCAGGGAGCAGAAGGAGCAGGCCATGGGTGGGGCGTCTCCCCACTCTGGTCTCTGTCTGTCTAGTGAACACAGTGCCCTGTGTGCCTGCGGGGGTTGCCGGACTCCCCCCCCCCCCCCGGGTGGTACTTTCCCTCAGCTCTCAGGCACTGGGCACTTGCGTGAGGAGATTGATTGGAGGCAGGTGGGGGCTGGCACCTGGGGGCCAGAGGGTCTAGAGACCCGAAGTGTAGGTGCGACAAAGCCTGAGTGGGTCAGGGCTCCCGCCCCACTCTTTACCCAAAGAGACCCCATTGCTTGGTCGCGTAGACACCTGCTTTGCTGGCTTGTGTCTGGTCTCACGGGAGGGGCCGCAGCAACATCCCACCCCCGGGGGACAGCAGTGGGGGTCGGTGTGGGCTAGAGCTAGGCGCGGGGCAGAAAAAGCAGAACTGGCAGCTAAAGGGACGGAGGGGGTCCCTGCTCGGGGCTCCCCCTGGCTCTGCACTCAGGGACCACACTGAGCAGCTGGGGGTTGAACTTGGGCGTGGGGTGGGGGTGTGGGAATCAGCGGGGTGCAAGGCCAGCGTCCTGCCCGCGGTGGGATCTCTCCTTCTGTGGGTGGTCTGGCTTTTTGCCACTCTCGGGAGCGGGGGGCTTCAGGAGAAAGGGGTTACGCTTCTCAGCGGTAGATTCTGGGGCAAGGGTGAGTTTGCTCCCCCAAGCCCGACCTCCTTTGCTCCCGTCCCTCCACGACTGCCCCGAGCTGGCACCCAGGAATGCTGGCCCAGCTCCTCCTAGAAGGTTCTGGGGTGTCCTGTTCTCCGTTGGCCCAGCCTGAGGAGTGATGAACCGAGAAAGCCTCAGCCTCGGGATCTGGTGCTGTGCACCCTGGACTGTCCCCAGAGGCCGCTGGGGACAGGCCACTGTCCAGTCCTCCTACTGCTTCCCCCTGCCCCCCTCCCCCCACCCCTGTTCTCTCTCAGGCTCTCTAAGGTTCTTTCACGTGAAGGGGGGTTGGGCTCATCTCAAATGGGCCTCTGGGACCCCCAAGCCCCCGACGGCAGGCACACAGAGTCCTGAGCGAGGCTGAGTGCACAGGCCCTGCTGGAAGGGTCCAGAACACTCTGGGGGGCCTCCAGGCTCTGTACGCCGGACCCTTCCCTGCCAGGAGCAGAACTGGTGTGGTGGGGGGGGGGGCTGGGTAGGGTGTCCCTGGGCCCAGCAGGAGCTCAGCCCACGCGCCAACCCAGCGGGTTCCCACATGGTGAGCGGAGCAGAAGCCAGGGGCTCCCACGAGTTCCTTTCCGGCAGCCTCGGGTGCCACACACAGAGTCATGGCACCTGGGGATGTGAGACAGACGCCCAGGGAAGGGCGGGGGTGGGGAGGGGCGCTGTCTGGCTCCCGGGGCTCCTGGCTGCCATGTTCCTCCTGTCTCTCTGGGAGTCGGCCCTTTGCATGTCTGTGTCCCCATGTGCCCTTGTCTGTGTCCTCCCTGTGTCCCCACGTCCCCCTGTCTGTGTCCCCCCATCTGTGTCCCCAAGTCCCCACTGTGTCCCCTCCTGATGACGACCCCAGGCCTGTTTCTTGTGGCCTCACCTCAGGTCATCCCGTGTGCTGTGCCCCTTGGTCCCAGAGCACATCGTGTTCTGGGGTGCCCAGGTTGGGGACCCTGCTGTGTGCCCTTGATGGGCAGGGCGGGGAGGGGAGAATATATGATTCAACCGCCCCATTGGCCTTTCTTGTGTGGCTGATAGAGTTAGAGGTGACTGAGCTCAGAGAGCCCAGAGGGCTGACCCCAGAAGAAGACCCTTCTCTCTAGGAGCTGGACACCGATAGGGTGCGGGGGGCTCCCAGCTCTGGGCCCTGCTCTGGGCCCCCGCTGATCGCCACCACTTCTGCAGCATGTTGGTCTCCAACGCCGTCCCGGAAGACCCCGAAACTGCCAAGAGGGCTCAGTCAGACGACACCCAAGGAAGCCTGTCCTCGCTGGCCCTGGAGAAGGAGTACCTAGCTGCCACTGAGAAGTAGGTGGCACCTGGGGAGGGCCTGGGGGGCGGCCTCGGGAGACCCCTCTTTGTTTCACCCGCACTGGCTGTGGGGGTGTCAGGTGCTCTCGGGAGTGGCCGGCAGGACCAGGGCATGATAGGGGCCTTTTGTAGATATGGTGGTGAACTCCACAGCGCAGGCCTGTCTGCCCATGGTGGGCGGACACTGCCCGCTGTGCCTGTGGTGGGTGGACATTGCTCGTGGTGCCCGTGGTGAGTGGACACTACCCCTGTGCTCGTGGAGGGTGGACACTACTCACTGTGCTCTTGGTGGGCGGACACTGCCCTTGTGCCCGTGGTGAGTGGGCACTGTCCACTGTGTTCGTGGAGGGTGGACACTGCCCACTGTGTCCATGGAGGGTGGACACTGCCTGCTGTGCCCGTGGAGAGTGGACACTGCTCCTGTGCCCATGGAGGGTGGACACTGCCCACTGTGCCCATGGAGGGTGGACACTGCCTGCTGTGCCCGTGGAGAGTGGACACTGCTCCTGTGCCCATGGAGGGTGGACACTGCCCACTGTGCCCATGAAGGGTGGACACTGCCTGCTGTGCCCGTGGAGAGTGGACACTGCTCCTGTGCCCAAGGGGACTCCTCGACCTGCCCAAAGGCTCCCCGTGGCCGGCCCTGTTTCCTCCTGCAAACAGGACAGCGGCTGTGCCAGCACGCCCACCCTTGTCTCGGGCCAGAGGGCCAGCCGGGGTCCAGCATGCTGTCCACACATCCTTCTCTGCCCCAGCCAGCACCTGCTTCTCTCTCTGCAGAGTGAAACCGTCACCACCACCACCACTGCCACCGGAAGAGGAACCGAGTCCCGTCAACAAAACCGAAAAGAAGACCAGTAAGAAGTCGCCTGCCTCTCAGAAGCAGCCCCCCAAGAAGTGAGGCTGCCATAGCCCCCCACCCCCGCCCACAGCACCAGGCCTGGCCCCGCCTGCAGACCCCCAGCTCTGTTCAATAAACAAGCATGCTTCCACGCCTGGGGAGGCCGGGGGACGGACCGACTCCCCGAGGCCCAAGGAGCCCCACATGCTGCTGTTTGAGGCCATGTCCTTGGAAGTGTCCCTCCGACCCGTGTGTCCATGGTGGCCCGGCACACCCACCTGAGACTTCTCCCGAGAGAACATTCTCACTGCAGGGCTGTACCCCATGGATGGGACCCGGCTGGGCCCTGCGTTTCCCCGGGCCTGGGGAGGAAGGACTCGGGTTCTGACCTGCATGGGAAATGGGGTGAGAGGAAGAGGACGGTGGAAGGAGACGGACAGGGAGAGGCCACTGGAGAAGGGGTGAAGGGGTCATGGGGCACCAGGGCGGGTAGGGAGAGGGGGCAGGGCAAGAGCCGTACTACCAACTCCTTAAGGGTCTTGGAGAGGCTGACACACCAGGCCAGGAGTGGGCAGTGGCCCCAAGGGGCTGTTTGGTTCTTGGAGTGGGGAGACCTCTGTCCCCAGCACCCTCCCCATAGAAGCTGTTAATCTGACGTCCCCGACATTTACTTCTTGTTCTTTTTCTGAAAAGACTCGCGTGTAACTGTCCACACTTGTGCCCTGAAGTGGAGCAGAAGTGGCCAGCTGCCTTCCAAAAACAATTGCGTTCTGTAATACCCAAGGTGCTGGCAGATGTCAAGGGTCCCGGGCACCCCGACGCCCTCCCAATTCCCTGCCTGTGCACCAGAACCCGAAGCAGAAGGCAGGTGCAAACTCCAGCTCGGATCTGGGAGGCAGATGCCCCCCAGCCCTCGCTGGGGAAGGTTCTCTAACCATTCGCCCTGAGTCCAGTCTCTGGACAGTCGTTGCACCTGATGACAAGCTGTCTCCAACGGGCCGGCCTGGCCAGCGTGTCCACCATGTAGGCGTGGGGCCTGGCTGGGCTTCCAGGATCCGGGATGTCTCCCAAGGGCGCTCAGAATGCCCAGGAAGGTCCAGCGCACAGAGTCCAGTGTCACCAGTCTTCCAGCGGCTCACCCTTGGCTGCCGGGATTTTCCTTCTGATCTGGGCCAGCCGTAGGGTCTTGGACCTGGATGAGATGGTCAGTTTTCAGCGAAACCCCCAGAGACTGATCTGGGGTGGCTGAGACACACAGAATGACCAGGGAAACCAAATATCCCCATTCCCAAGAAAAACGTGTTTTGGTGCAGGACCCTTGTGGGCCTCTGTCACCTGTCTGCTGCCCCCAAGGGCTTGTGTTTACTTGAATGTCTGTGTTTTCTCCAAAGCCTGGGAAACCCTAGTGACACTCCCAGGCTGCCTGGTCATCTCTGAAGACACGCTCTCTCCACTGGGACCTCCATGGACTCCCCAAGTGTCCAGTGACCATGAGTCCCCCTCTCTCCTCCAGGTCAAAAGACAAGAACACAATAATGAAATATAGGCGGGAAAATGAACATTAACCACTAGACACCCAAGGCTTCGAGATGTGTCAGGCCATAAAACAGATGTTCCCCGTGTGTGTGGAAAACAAAAGGAAGAGCTGAAAATGCAAGCAAGAAGCAAGACATCAGGGAGCAACCGTGAGACAGGCTGGATCTCGCATCTGGATGTGTTGGAGAGGGGCCCTTCTGAGACCCCAGAAGAGAGCTTGGCTGTCCTCCCCCAGTTTCCTGCCAGATATACTTTTCAGATCATGATGCAGGCAAGAGAAATGCAAGAATCTCAAAGATTTGCTGAACCCAGGGGAGAAATCTGGCTTTAGGGAGATGGCGCTGACTGGAATTGTCGGGACCAGGGCATCCTAGGAGGGAGCATTGCAGAGACAGTGCTTGGAGGCTGCGTGGGACTAGGAATCTCTGTGAATGTTCAGCTGGAGTTGAAACTGCATGCGTTCAGGGAGGCGCTGAAGACAGAGCATCTGGCTCCAGCCAACCCAAGGTCAAGAGTTGAGACTTTTTGCAGAGTCCACAGAAAAGTCCTGCAGGAGAAGCAGAGATAAATCATCTTGGAGGAAGGACTAGCCCAGACCCTCCATGATGAAGCTTAAAAACAATGCTTGACAAACAATGCAGACAGAAAAGAATAGGGTAAGTGGCTTACAGGGGGTGGGAGGCGGGGTGCCCATGAAGGGCTGAGGGGAAGAGGGCAATGGAATTCTAGTTATTGATGGCGCTGGTGGCCTGACTGCATTTGTCAAAAGTCATAAGTACTATACACCTAAAAATGTATTTTTTCTATGTGTGAATTATCCCATTTTATTAAAAATTATTTTTGCAAAAGTCTCAAAAGTATAAAACTGTAAGTAAATTGAACTGCCTGAAAACAAGTCAAGTTTTTCTAAAACAAAAGCATACGATTTAGACCACATTACATCTCTGATATCTGGCGTGTGCTTAAAACCACTGCTGGGTACGTGAAGAAGCAATAAAATGCGACCAGTGACCCAGAAGTAAAGAAAATGTAGTCAGTAGAAATAGACCAAGAGGGGTCGGCAAGATAGTACACTGGGGAGGGCGCTTGCCTTGCATGTAGCTGACCTAGGTTTAATCCCTGGCATCCCATATGGTCCCCCGAGCACCATCAAGAGTAATTCCTGAGTGCAGAGCCAGAAGTAACCGCTGAGCATCACTAAGTGTGACCCAAAAATAAAACCCCCCAAAAATGAATTTTCGGAGTGACAGATAAGACTAGTCTTAAAATAAATTTATTCAATGGAGCACAGCTAGAGAAATGGAAACTTTAAAACTGGACACAACATTGAAAATGAAATATAGAGGCTGGAGAGATAGCACAGTGGGTAGGGCATTTGCCTTGCACGCGGCCGACCGGGGTTTGATTCCCAGCATCCCATATGGTCCCCTGAGCACTGCCAGGAGTAACTCCTGAGTGCAGAGCCAGGAGTAACCCCTGTGCATCACCAGGTGTGACCCAAAAAGCAAAAAAAAAAAAAAAAGAGAGAGAGAGATAGCTTGAAACTGAACATTAAAATCAGATTAGAAACTATAGAAAACGTATCAGTGAACTAGAATGTGGGTCAATATAAAATATCCAAAATAAAGTTAAAAGGAGGTAAAATCTGCAAAAAGCGAACAAGTTTTCATGTCCAAAGAGCTAGTACGTGATCTAATATATGTATAATTGAGATGCCAGAAGGAAACAAAAGATAGTTAAGAAAAATATTTGAAGTAATACCAGGGCTGGAGCAATAGTACAATGAGTAGGATGTCTGCCTTGCACGCAGCCATCTTGGATTCAGTCCCAAGAACCCCAAGAGCCCTCCAGGAGTGATACCTGAGCTCAGAGCCAGAAGCCCTGAGCACTTCTGGGTATGGCCCCAAAAACAACAAATAACTAAAAGATATTTGAAATAATACTAAAAGGAACCGGAGGGTACAGCAAGGCATGATCCCCACACTGCACCTGGTCCCAGGAGCCCCGAAAGGAGAAAACCCTGAGCACAGTTGGATGTGGCTCAAAATAAAACGTAAAAAAGTGTAAATGCAACCACACACCCCAAAATCACAAGATAATCACAAGTATCTCCAGTGCACATCAGAGTCAAACTGATGAAACTTTCTGGTAGTGAGTGTCTAAAAGGAATCATAAAAGTTCATACACCAAGGAAAAAGTATAAATGCTGGTTTCTCACCAGTGAAAGTCAATCTGTAATTTTATATCCATCAAGAATATCCTCAAAGAACAAAAGCGGTAAAGACTACAGTAAGTGGGAATGGATCAAACATCCCCGAATATTGAACTCTCACATGCAAACTTGTGTTCTTAGCATGTTACCCAAAAAGTGCAAATGACCCACATGTCCATCAGAATAATGGATAAATTGTAAAATATTCACATACAGTGAGATAGTATTTGGTCATTAAAAATAAAGTATATTTTATGTTTTAAATTCTCATTTTTAATATGAAAATGGGGGTTGCAGAGATAGTATAGAGGTCAGGGTGCATGCTGCTGATCTGGGTTCAATCACTGTCACCTCATTTGGCCCCCTGAGAATTGCCAGGAGTGATCCCTGAGTACAGAGTCAGCAGTAAACCTTGAGTACAACTGGGCATGGCCCCAACACAAAGGTCACGGTCACAGTCCTCCCGTTGTTCATCGATTTGCTCGAGTGGGCCCAGTAATGCCTCCATCGTGAGACTTGTTGTTACTGTGTTTGGCATATTGAATACGTCACAGGGAGCTTGCCAGGCTTTTTAATAGTGTAAACATTTTAGTTAAAGAAGTGATATGGGGGCGGGAGCAATAGTGCAGTGGTAGGGCATTTGCCTTGCACATGGCTGACCTGGGTTCAATTCCCAGCATCCCATATGGTCCCCTGAGCACTGCCAGGAGTAATTCCTGAGTGCAAAGCCAAGAGTAACCCCTGTGCATCACCAGGTGTGACCCAAAAAGAAAAAAAAAGTGATGGGGCACTCAGAAATTAAGCTCTCGAAAGAGAGCAACATAGAATGACATGCCACAGAGATGCCTCTGGATCCCACACCAGGCTATCTCCTACGGGGCAACCCAGAGCTGAGCAGGTAAGTTCCCCTTCCTGCCCCACCAGAGCCCCGGAAGCCAGAAACCTCCAGAACTCAACCATTGCCATGCTCATGGCCACACTCCATAGGCTCGGATGAGCCTCACCCATGAGTAAATCTGCTATATAACCGTATTTTAAATTTTAGAGTTCCTGGAGCGCATGGCCATTTGACATCTCATACTTTACACCGCCGATGTGCCAAAAGTAGCCCACCACATTTGATGGGGTTTAAGAAGAAGGCAGCCCATTGGGGGAGAATACAATATGTATGTGTATGCATAAATATATAGATACATACACACACACACACACACACACACACACAAGGCTCAACCTTTACAACATGTTAGTAATCTCTTATAGAAAGGCTAAATGGCTCCAGGGTGAAATACAACCATCTTCACACACTTTC